CATTAAAAAATGTTGTCATCATTAGTTTTTAAATCGATCCATTAATGATGAATTTATTATTTGTATACCTACAGAAAATCGTCTAAATGTGTTTCAATTTATTTAATCTCGTTTTTAGACCATCTGCACTTTGGTATACCGAAAATTAGGTTCTTATCCTCTTCTAATGCAAAATGATTAAATATGTAAAGTGTAAAATGTTATAGATATAATATATTGTTGTGAAACATAATTGCATTGTTCTGCGTCTTTTCTAGACAAATTTGAAAAAAAAATTAAGAAGTCCTTAGCCCTAATAAACACATAGTGTGTAACAACAATATCTTTGTTGCTACGACCGCAGAATGTTCGGTCGGGCACACTCTCGCGAGTGGTCTATTACGAACTCAATTCCTGAAACTATGTAACGAACTATTTTACGGCTTGCTCGTCCTCATCTATCGTTCTACACGCTAATAATAATCATAATAATAATTATGTTGTACATACACAAAAGGATTGAACTTGTCAGCCACGTCAAAGCGAGTATAAATTGGGACACATCGAATGCAGTGCATACATTATAATATTATTATACCGATATTTTAGAACACATACCTACACATCACCGTGGAAAAAAAAGTAATTTTATTTACATCCAAAAGTGCACTATATACGTTATGCGGTCGGTCAGCATCAGACGTCTCTATTATCACATATTGTACCTACATTATATGCAATGTTATAATAATATTTACGGACTTTTGAAAACGATAAAATATATAGGATAACATATTAATATGTAGCTTATAAAAGTGTGCTAAAATATTTTTGAAAATAAACATTAAAAACTTCGTGTATTCAGAAATCAAAACTGTGGAATAGGCAGGTGAACAACAGAAATCGAATTAAAAGACTGAATTAACGACAACTACCCAAAAAATGAAGACGACAAAGATACTACCCAAAAAATGAAGACGACAAAGATAAGCCAGCAACAGGATGTCTCTTGGTGTCGAAAGAAAACTATTATTATTATAATTGGCTACAACTATCAAAAAACTAAATTTACTGTTTCAAAGAAAAACATGATATACATTTTTAATATTATTATATACAAAAAAAAAGAAATCAACGATTGAAATGTTTATACTTTATGTATGCTTCGTGTACATCATGTAGTAGATAAGAATGTTTGAAAAGATGAAACAAAAGTGTGTTGGTGGTGTATACGTGTGTCGAGTTTTTTTTCAGAGTGAATTCGATGAAAACCCAATTATACTTTTCTTTTGTCATGGGAGAAGGGGTGGACATGGCGGATTAATCGTGATCTCTTGTCTTGGCTGCAGTGAAGTGTTTACATTATATAATATATTAACGAAATAATACGAAAACGTCTTTAATAAACGTGTCGACGTCGTCGTCGTTGTCGTCGTACAGTCGGTCACTTTGTTTCCGCTTAAAACAATGGGAATTCTCGTTCCGGCGGCGTTTCGACAAGCGTTTTGAATAATTAAATTTTTCCGAATCACGGCAAGCGAATGTCGCATTTATCACAACTGTATAATGTATATAATGTAGTGTTGGCTGCAAAAAACAAAATGGAGAAAACAGAGAGAGAGAGAGAGAGCGAGAGAAGGAGAGAGACGGTGCACGCTGTGTATACACTTAAAAAATAAACAGTGTTAAAACTGGGAATTATACCCACTTTTTCTGCACGTCGTTGACGTCGCACAATTCAACGGCAGCGACGGACGTTAAAAGCCATTTTCGTCACACAGTCGCTTTTAACTTGGAGTAAATAAACACAACGCAACACAAAAGATCCAGCCCTACAGGCGGGTTGTTGCTCCATCGTCACGCTTATTTCTTTGCTGCAGAGCTACTCGGAGAGATTTTTAACGCTCGCACACGCACACTACTCAACTATATATTATAATAAGTACAATAATAATAATAATAATATACGACGCAGAAAAAGATGTAAGGCCAGCGCGAGATGACAAATTGTATATGAGTGGTGGTCTGTGCTTGCGCGGGGGTGTGGTGCAGATGAGGGGTGGTTGGTGCGAGCGCGTTGGCGGTTTGAGCGAGGCTGGGGTTGTGGCAGAAGGAAATTCGTGCGAACTATGTAAAACCAACACTTGAAATGTTATATTATACCTACCTATACATTATTATATACCGTAAAGTGTCAAGGGCGGTCGTGTTTCTGAGAAGACATTGTCTCGGGGGAGAGGGAGAGGAAAAAGAGGCAAAAAAAGTCTGCAGATATTCATTTAGTGTGTGGAGACCACACTGGTGAAATAAAAAATGTAAAGAAAAAAAAACCAGGGTACGCTGTTGAGTGGGGTTAGCAGACTACGGCAATAATAATATAATAATCATAAAATTTATAATATTATTATCATCGAGTATAAAATATTATAATATTGTCTATTGAAATACGGTGAAATATGATTTCGACGACGGTTGATCGGAGAGCGTAGTCGTCTGTTTTGGGAACAAATCATCGCGAACCATTTACAAAGGGGGGGGGGAGGGCTTGGTCGTAGGTAGGTATATATTATATTATTATAATCTGTCATATTTTAAATCGTCGAGTCCTCTGCCGGCCTACACACCCAACAGTGTATCGCATTATACCGTGGAAATATCAAAAGATCTGCCTTAGCGCCCGAGACGCTTTTCACTCGTTTCTTAAAAATAGCGTACCCTTTTGAAACAGTTTTCTCGTCGTAATACTAAAAAATACCTCCCCTATAAAAGCGGCTTTTAATCGTATTAAAAATAATATGCGCCAAGTATTATATACCTAATTATACGTTTTCGTCATCGTTATTATTATTATTATTATTACAAGTACCTACTAATAGTTACTAAGTAACACACGATTCTTAAGACGGCTGCGGCACATGATGAACGAAAATATAAGTCTCACCGTGCACACTAAAAACTTTAAGTTTTTAATTCATGGAGTTGTGGTGTTACTATGCATTGCGCAGTCGGTAGCATAATAATATTGTGTTGGGTATTTGCTGTAATTAATTATATTAAACGCGTCGTTATAATATATATATATATGTACACATATTATGGGTACAAAGTATATTATATTACACACATATAAATTATAATATTATACACTTGTACTGTAGCAGAAATCCGTTGATGTGTTAATGAAAAGCACGATTAATATGTTGTGGGCATACCCTTGATAGGTATATCATATTATGAGACGCCGACGATAAGAAAAAAAGTACATCTAGGAGTTGGCTTAAAAAAAATTCTAGAAATATTTAAGTTTTAATTTATAAACGAAAAGAATACCATAAAATGTCGAAATACAATTATTGTTTATAATTAATAATTATCCGAATTAAGGATATTTTAAAAGTAAAAATGTAAAAGAAAAAAACTATACGTAATAATATATAATCCATATTTTTCTTATCGGCGTTTCATATAATATAATATAAAGTACTTATACACCCACATATAATATATTATGATATTATATCATATCATAATATTGTTATTAAATATCTAATGAACAACACACACATAATATGATTAAATATTTACCGTGTTAATAATAACAATGATTGATATTATAGTAAGTATATATCGTATTATAATAAAATGAATAGGAAACACGAAAAACGTTTTAAATAAACCCAACATGCATGCAGTTAAGATAAATATAATAACATATAAATAGCAGACGCATCCCGTTTGCCAAAGAGAATATAAATCATTTGAAGCTCTACCAATATAAAATATGTAAAGAAACAGCACAAAGAATACAAAAAAAAAAAAATGACGGGAAAAATCACAATAAGAATAATAATATCAAAACAATGTATAATGATTAAAAAAAATAACAATAAATAAAATTGGCACTCAAAATCCACACGTTTACGATGTAATATAATATTTTCAATGTCGTTACGTACCACCTAGATTACAATCACCAATCACAGTATATTTCGACGTTTCTATACAAATTATATATATAAATATAAATCGCACATAAAATAATGTATGCAAATACAGCATAACATATATGTGTCATGCTAAACATTGTGTAGGTACTTGAATAATATGCAATTCGTAATAATATGCGCTTTGCGGGGACGACACACGAGAATCGCAATAATGAGCAGACCGCGACGTGCACTGTGTAGGTAGGTACCTATGTATCATAGTTTACCGTACACATTTACACTATATGGGTACATGACTTGTGTTTGTGTTTGAGGCAAACGAGGCGATTTTTTTACGCCAAACCGTTCGTTAACTTTGGCGTTAATTAGAAACGGTAAATAGCACGATACCGTGGTACGCATAGCTACTGATAAATACACCGTCGAAACGTGGTAATACGTAGGTATATATAGGTATACACCAGCAGCGAGGGAGCACGATCTCTTTTGGAATATACGATTGAGCTGAGTAGGTACTTACACCTATACCTACTAATTGGTTGCTGTGCGATAATATTGTACAGTTGAAAACGTACTTATTAGTTATTTGTATCGCGACTGCTTGGAAAATAAACGAAAACGTTTTAAAAGATTATGTAGTGAAAAAAAAAAGTTTCAACGGATTTTACGGGTTTTCTCTGAGTAAAAACGTAGGTTACTATGTACCTATAGTATATAATATACTTACGTTAATTAAAAACGAAAGTCTAAACTTTTAATTAAATCGTACATAGAAACGTTTTTAATTAGGAGCATATTATTATTATATACTATATACTTAAACGAACTGCGATGCTCCGCGGACATCCATCTCATCCGCTCTCTATATTATATTATATATACAGAGTGTTCGAGTTCATAAATAGTATATAAATACGAGACGAGAGTACAAACGTTTCAGTATCGCGTGTGATTCATTAAAAAATCACCGCAGCGCGAACTGTTCGTTAGCGCGTACAAGTGAAAAAAACATGAGGTTTTTTTTTAGATATTATTTCGTCATAATTATTGTTATTATCATTATCAGGTACTCACCAGTCGCAGTCTTGAAGACGAGTTCCGATTGTACGCTAAATCCAATTTCGTTGTGGGCTCTGACTTCCACTCTATAAAACGTGTCGGCGTTTAGATTTTCCATCAAAAACGAAGTCTTGTCCGAGGACCTGAGGTCTTCGCTCCTGCACGATTCTGTTCTGGTTACCCACATCGTGTTAACCTTGTCGGCCTGAAACATGAAACGGCAGAGGTTGACAAAATTACGACGAAAAAAATATTGGTTCATTTGGGTATTATTAAAAATATACAGTCTTACGACCGAAAAAAACGGCATGTAGGTAGAGGGTATGAAAGTAAAACACACAGCCATTAATATATAAAACCACCGTAAAAAAAAACAGTGAAAATAACAAAATATGAGCACGATGGAGTGGCAGATCTAGGGGTCGTATTCCGCAAAATGATTGTGTTTGTCGAGTGCTTTTCAACACTTCCAAATAATTATAACTACGAATATTAACTACTAGTATCTGTTTCTGATATGAAATTAAAACGTATGCTGTCATAATATAATAAAAATAAAAACAAACTGAAAATGATAAAGATAAAGTAATAGCAAACAATTTTGTTTACCACCGATGACTTGTAATTTTTTTTTTATATTTCAAAGAACATTAATATATTTATTGCGAAAATGAGTGATTTGCCTTTAAAAAAATCATCCTGCAGTTTAAACGAGGTTGTAATCCTATAAAATTATAGGGGGCAAACTTGTGTTCAACCATCTTTAAAAAAAAAAAAATGGCAGGTTCGGAGTGATGTTCGCATTTTAATTTTGCCATATAAATGTACAAATTAAATTAGCAGAATTGTTGATGGATTTTGTTGTTTAGGTTTTAAAATTGGAGGGAATCTATATGAAACAGACCTATACTTATTTATATTTAATATTTACTTACCACGCAATAGCGAACGTTGTACAAGTTTATGGGCTCCCCGTTGTCGGCTGGTATCTTCCAGTTGACTTCGTAGCTGTTGCCGTAAGGCGAGTTGATGTAATCATCGGTGTACACGTCCTTGTTGACCAATATTTTTGGTTCCTCAGGAGCGCTCCTTTTAGGCATGGTGCGCTGTTCCGAAGGACTCCAGTCGCTGGTACCCACGTCGTTGATGGCGGCAAACCTGAATGTATAGGTCCTGTGCGCTTCCAGGTTTTCCAGTATGTATGGCGTGTCTAATTTAATGCGTATAAAATATTATGTTATTTATTCCGTACACATTTTTTAGAAGAGTTTTTACAATATATATATTATGTGCAATAAAAAAACAGATGACAAAATTGATTTACATATTTTAACATTTATAATATTATAGTCAGTGCCAGATTTGGCACTATATCAGGTGCATTTTATACCTGTAGGCACACACATTTCTCTACCTCCTCCACATTACATAGATGGTACTAAAATTGGTTTCTATACTAATTGCATTTTTATTTTTCAAAATAAGCTTAATAAAAAAATTGAAAAATTCAAACAACAATAATCATAGAATTATTTTAAATAAAAATCCTGTTAATAAAGCAATAATAATTATAATATGAATAAACAACAACAACAACAATAAACAAAGAGACAGCAGTATTAGCCTTCAAACAAAATTATCATATTTTAAGGGAATTAAGTTTGTTTTTCTATATAAAGTTAAAGCAGTAATACGTTGGATGTATAATACCGTTTATGATAAACACTCAAACTTTGCTGCGTTAATGCCTTTTTTTTACAATTTTTGTTCAACAAAGTTACCTTAAAAATTAAAATGTAATAGCCTAGTATATGCAATTGTTTTGACAGTAAGTATCTATAATTAGGAGACACCGATGATCCGTGACAACAGTTGCGTATATAACCTCGTATTATTATTCATACTGTGTATGTACTATATGTGTCGGGGGTCATGACTTATGTTATTTTGTAAGAATTTTGGCAAACGCAATAGTCTTTTTGTTTGTGTTGTCTTGGCATTTAATATAATATTATTGTTATTAGCGTCGTTTCAAATAAAAAATATTATGAAATGATGGCCATCTAAATGAGGACGCTAAGAATGGTGTGATTATTGAGGGAAACCCGATTGCTTCCTCTCATCGAATCGGCTTGAGGAAGCTAAGCTCCCCCCTCACCCTAGACATACGATTTAGCCTATTCGAGCTATAAAATGTGTGTTGCAGTAGATACTTACCAACTGGCCAAGATTTGTTGCGACCTTCATCCCACGACTGCTTAACCTCCTTGTACTGGACGGCGTAGGCTTTGACTTTGATACCTCCCGTGTCTGTCGGACCCACGAAACCGAACGAAATCGTTGTAGCTGAAAAGGGCACATAGATCAGTTGAAGCGAAATCGGTATTAACAGATAACTGCTGGACGAGCTTTCGGTCGAAAGTTTACTGAGTATAATATTAATACTTTAAGGGGACTCGGCGCCAAACATCTCCATAAATTGTTGGCTAAAAACCATTATAAGGCACGAGCAAGTGGTTATTCGGGAATAGTATTCCTATTATAGCTGCAGAGAAACCAAATTCTCTCGAGGACATTTTGACTGTTCGACATAGTTTTTGTTTTATGGATATCACTTGTACGATAAAAAAAAGTTATTATTGTTTTAAATCCATTATTTTTATGTTTTTCAAACTCGAACAACTTTTTTTACGTTATAGCGGCTGCTGCAGATATCGAAAAAAACAAAAACGTTATTACACAGTCAGAGTTCCCCTCTTTTAAAGGTAACAATTTGTTTTCACATATTTTGGTTTTGCATACAGCTTTCTTTACAGCGTAAGAACGTTTTCTTATAAATATTATTTTGTGGTCACACAACAACAAACAATTAATGTTCAGAAAGATAACCCACACTTTTGAATTACTAACTAGAATAGAAAATTAAATATTATTAGGGCTTAATTGTATAGGTATTTTTATTGTTGAAATATGGAATACAAATAATATGATAAGATAACGAATATCTACGACATATCTACAATTAAATTGATGCAAACAATTTTCAAACTACCAATATCATTGAGTAAAATCAATAAGCACCTCCTAATTTTAAACTATATGTTACTTTTAATAGTGAGGTAAATCATATTTGTTGATTTTCTCTCAAATAAATGGATCATTTTTAACTATGCATAACTTTTTTTTATTATAACAAAATCACTGGTTTTATGGATTATAAATTATCAGAGATATATGACGCGGAAATTATTATTTTTTAGATTACTTTGGTTTGAATAAATCATAAAATGTGCATTTTTAAAAAAAAAAAAAAAAAAATGCAGTATACTTGAAATATACAAAGTAACAAAATGTATTATTTATATTAATATTATTTTTCATGGATTTATTTATCGAATTTTTAAAAAGACGCTACAAAAAAATCAAAGGAGCCTACAGATTCTTTTGAAATGTACATTTATCTGGCCCGCTAAAAAGCAAGCAGATGATTGCAGGAGAGATTATAAATTCCACTGGTATTATCCCTTTTTATACGTAAATATTAATTCTCCGACATGATTCTTTCATATAAAAAAAACGTGTTAACACCCCCTGTACATAAACGCCACCCCAATGTTATTTTGTGAACAGTTAAGTATCTATTGTTTGTATTTTAAAATTTTAAGTCACTTACAATTAAATGTTAAAATAACACATGTCGTTAACTTTTCCACTTTAAGGCCAAAATTAATTACACGATATATGACTGACTAGTATTTTTATTGCTCGAAAATATTTGATCTATTCGGCTTTGATCACAATATCACATACACAACTAAAAAGCTGTCTATGTTTAGGGGGCTAATGGGATATTTTGGGGCGGCTAAGCCAATGCCAACTATAAGTATATACATAAATATAATCATAGTAGAATACAATTGATTGCACGTATACCTACATAAACATCATAATATTGTACAATTAACAATTCTCAAATGTATAGTTTTCTAATTTTCAATGATATCATCGGAATATTTGCATTTCGTATTTTCGAGGTTCGTAAAAACTCACCTGCGCCATTCATGTATAAATGTCATATATCTAAGCCCAGTGTCCACCCTTAAAATTGGGGTGGAATTTACATGTTTTCGGCAAACATTGCAAGGATCAATTTGAGCTGACAAAAACGCCACGGTACTTACCAGTGACAACGTCGAACTTGGCCTGAGACACCTTGGAAGGACGGTGCGCCTCCCTGAGCGTGATTTGTGCGTTGTTCTCGCCGTGAATGTTCTTGGTCAGGCACGAGTACACTCCGTAGTAGCGCTGATCAATCGGTGTCACCAGCAAGTTGCTGTAAGGACCCTTGCCGAACTTTTGCACGTTAATGTCGTCCTCTACCATGCGGTTGTTGAGCAGCCACGTGATGGAAGCGTTCGGCAGCGACTCGGAAATGCAAGACAGGTTCACAGGCATCCGGTTCCAAGTCCACACCTCCTTAACCATGTTGCTGGCGTACACTGGCGGGAACTCGACGGTAAGATGCCCGTTTTTCGTCCCTTCGCCTCCCTGAGATGAAAATGTGGTTTTTTCACAATTATTTTAATGTTTGTACAATATGACATAGGTAATAAAAATACGCGATTATAGGAGGTCATTATAATTGTATCCTTTATTATAGCAACAAAGTTTTGCAAATTCCGATTTTTGAAATTGTCTATAGAACTGCAGCAGTTACGTCTTAAAGACTAAAATGTTTTCCAATACCTACTTGAATTGTTCGTGTGTCCTATGGCAATATAAACTTCTTTTTTTTAAATGAGAACCTCTATTCACTAAAAGGCTTATGTGTACATTTTTTTTTTTGAAATGTTGAAAAATATATAAATCAAAATACGATCTAGTAGTTTCCATGTTAATCATTTGTACCTATACATTATATATTGCACTGTACTTTGCACTTTCCGAGAAAAATTATAGTCCTCATCAATAAGAAGATTGTATCTACAAAGGGCGCTCAATAGAATTAAACAAATATAAGTGTTAGAAAATATGGTCCTTAAGTACCTATATAAGGTGTAACAGAGCTATTTAACAGATTTCCACTACAAATGTTATAGCTTATAAACTATATTTGTCTATAAAAGTCTTGTTACATTCTGTATATTATATACTACAAACTTCTAGAAATCAGAATTTTATTAAAGCAAAACAAGGGTATAATATTATGCTTGGGGAATCAGACAGTTATGGTTATAATAAATATTTTATAGATAAATAACTCGAAGGCGGTATGTATACGATTGGACAAGTCGAGTGGTGATAAGAGGGGGAGGGGGGCGTTACGGGTATGGTTATGTACGATTGAAGTTACCTGGACCCCCCCCCCCTTTTCTCGTCAAAACTGATTTCTTCCACTAAGTTGCATAAAAAACACACACATTGAACTCACAGCTCAAAACGTTAAATATCAATTAAAAAATGTTATAATATATCATGTAATTGGTCGTGTTCTGAGAATTTTCTAAACGTCAAGGGTCGTTTCGATCGCTTCTATGACACAGCAGTGTTTGAACAAACTAAGGTGGTGGCTTATAATCGTTATATGTATATTATTATATTAATTATAGTTCTGTGCGGTCGCATAAACAACAATATTCATATATCGATCAGTTCACCTTCCACTAGTGCTTGTGTGTGTGTGTTTCTCATCTCTTGTTTATAATATATACGGAGTGATCCACTTAACGTAATACACTCATCATTTCAGAAAACATAAAGTTTCACACTTCAAAGCAACAATTATTCTGAGTTTTTTCAAAATATTCTCATTTATATTTTATCTATGAAAATTAAATTTTGTGTTAACATAGTTTATTATGGTTATAAGTTATAACTAATATAAGTATTTCGTGCTTAGATGAGCAAAGTAGTCGTCAAACGTTTGGCGGGGTACCTCCACTGTAAAACTCCACTCATATAGATACTCATAACTTTAAATACGTACTTATAATAATTCATAAGCACTCTTCCAAAATTCGATTCGTATACATTAGAGTACTATATTCTGCTTAGGAATAACAAATTAAGAATGTAAGTTGTCATTGAAAAACTTAAAAAGTTAAAAAATAATAACGATAAAAAAACATCACAAACTCCAATTTTTTTCTAAAATGTTCTTTTTTAACTACTTCAAATTTTAAAATATTTTCTTAAAGATAATAATTTTTGAAATAATGAATATCTTGCGTTAAATGGATCACCCGGTATACCTCTATACATCAATATTATATATTATATATAGCCACTGCCAATATTAGACATGTTATTATGGTATAATGGCTTTTGCAGGGTCCTTGGCTTCGTTTAGCAGATGGAAATTTTAATAATTGACATACCGCCTTCGGCAAAGGCGACTCCTCCACAATGGCCGAACCGTAGGTAGGTGCCTATACCTATAATAGTAAATAACAATAATTCAAATGTCGCATAGTACGTACCTTGTTCGACGCGATGCAAGTGTACAGTCCATCGTCGGATCGGTTCAGGTGTTTAATCACTAGAGTGGCCGTTGCCAAGTCCCCCATGGTGTCGTGCTCCACGCTAATGCGATAATCTTCGATTCCCGATTTTATGACGACGTTCGTGCCCACTCTCCTGTAATTATTTAGTACACAGTTTGGATTAGTGATATTGTTATTATAGTACGTACGTATACACCACGCCGTTATAGCAGTGTTATTATAATACCGTTGCAGCCGATATTATTATATTCGTTTGTAAATTATTATACCGTCACCGCAGCGGTACCCGTTAGAGAATATAGAACAGAAATTATTAAAAACTCGCGATATAACCCGGCTATAGTACTATAATCAAAATTATATATCGATCGAGATAAAAACTTTTTAATGTATGACTCATATACATTATATTTACGAACACATAGATGCGGTGGCGTAGCGTCTTCTTTGTATATATTATTATGCTTCGATCTCGGTGTGGTCTTTAATAACTCAGCGCGTCTCGAAATGCATAATATTGACTTATACAATATTTATATATTATATTGTATACTTCTGCAGCAGCAGACTCAGAGTAGTTAAAAATTCCAATGTGTCCGAATAAAAAAGTGAAACGGCAGTATATGGGAATATTATATATATATATATATATATATACGCTGCTGCTGCACCAAGACTACTTTATCTTTTGGCTTATTTCCGTGCTACAGCATTTTATGTTTTTTCCCCCCTCAAACTTTAAATGGTTATAGTTTATAAATCTGTTTTTATTTTTTATTTTTTTGTTAAATTGGGTTGTGACACATTCATAATGTAAAAAATGTAAACTATTTTTAAAAAAAATGTTTTTTGTTTTGTTTTAAATTTACAGCAACATCAAAATGTAAAAGTTTCTTGTTTATTGCGCGATTTACAAGCAAAGTATTACCGAGTTAATCTTAGCTACGTTATTTATTCTAAAAGTTATGATCAAATTAAATTAAATTATAACTGTATTTAAAGACATTAATATAAACACGCTGAAGCTTAGTTGTAGTTACCTGTGACTGTTTTTGCTCAGAATATTTGATGTATGTTTTGATCACGATTAGATTCGGAGTACGCGTTGGCGATATATTTTGTTTGTTACGGATTATATTTCTTGTGAAAATGCCATTAAAATTGTACAATATTAAATATTATATGAAATAAACGGGTGTACTAATTACATTTAATTATCGATATCGTGATTTAGTAGTTTTAATAGGATCAATACACTAGCAGTTTTTTGTGACGAAAACATACCTTTATATAATTATGCACATCGTATTGGAATTTATTATGAACGTTTCTTTAGGTTGATCAACCTAGTTAGATACTTTATTCAAATTTGCTTTCAGTCTAAGAATTTTAAACATTATTCATCGTATGAGGAATCAAAAATAAATGGAATGATCGACCTCAAGTAAAATATAAAAGAAACTTTAAAGATGTTTTCAGGTCTTTTATCGGACTATGATAGTTGTGCTATTACGGTGGACAAAAACATCCTTTTTTTGTCAACAATATTGCTATTATCGACCTATATATTGGTGACGCGTCTCAAGTAGGTATTTGTCTCTTTTACACTATTGTTAGTTGTTACACTGAATAATGACCACTAACTAAACGCACAACGCATTCATATAAAAAGCACTTAGAATGTTGCCTATACTGAATTTTTTTAAGACTGTTATCGATATCGAATTAACAATGCTAAAAGACAATACTCGTCGTATTTGTATTATTTCTTTTAGACAGAACGTCTTGCATCAAAGGAGAATAATATTATGTAGACGCGTATAATGTCACAATACATTATAAATAAACATTATATTATGATATTATGTTAATATAAAATTATTCGTCGTGGGTGTAATATTTACACCGAACGGTACAGGTATTATATTCTTGAGACAAAATAAGACACTTTTATTGAGATTCAATGGTACCTATATATATATTATACATCTACTATAATATTGTTTTCGTAATAAAATATATAGCATAATGCGCTCGCATTTATTTTATGATATAGTATTGTAATCATCTACGTAATTGCATTACATTGCAGAGATCTTTAAAGCATTATGACGCATTTTCCTGAAAGTACCCAATCGTTTCACTCATTGTAACAACTTAATTAAAAACTTTAACGATTAATATTATTATTATTTTACTGATTATTCGAAACGGAGTACGGAGATCGCTTATTGTATAACCGTGTAATACCAGCGTCGGTAGCGTTTCCGATGTTTTCAGACGGGAAATTGCTTGTTGTGGTCGTCGAAGTTCTCGCGTATACCGTTAAAGTTAGGCACTACCCCCGCAGCGGTGGTGTACTAACTAGTAATTAAAACAGTCAAAAGTCCCAACTAACCGTATAATATTCCCGAATTGTAATCGAATTAAACTAACACGCACCTACGGTCGACGTGACTGAATAAAACCTTGCCATATAAAACGTCTCCAGGTATGTAGTCATAATAGGTACCTGTATACGGGTTAGATTAGGGATAGTTAATCGCCATGATAATTTTCACGGTTATTCCGCGGTCAAACGAAACATAATAATTATATTATAACGCATAGGCCACGATATCATAAAATATTATCGTACCTACCTAACTGTATATTATACTAAGGTTATGGCAAGGCAAAAATAATAATTATTTTCGTGTAATTTACAGCGGGGTCAGTATGCATAGGTACGTTTTTATTTTGCTTTCGGGTTGTTCGTAGGGGCGAGGGGAAATGTCTACGAAGCGTACGAACGGAATTAAATCCGAACACGACAAAAACACAATAATACTCGTATTTTAAACGGATACGTTTGCTTTTACTACGGAAAACTATATTATGTACACGTCATAATATGTATAGGCATTTAAAGCGTACCAAATACTAGTATAAGAAACGCACAGGCATCGTGTAGAAAAACTCGGGAAAATGGCCATGAAGGGGAGGGGGTTGAGGTGTATTTATTTCGGTTGTTTGCAGTGGACGTTCGGAATCACGTGCGTATATTATAACGTTATGTTATATATATACGGAAACCAGACAACCGTGAAATGAAAAATCTATAGAACCGGACGATTTTTATTCACCAACATCGCTGGTATAAATACCTGCGGAGGCCTATTATTATGTGATTGCGTAACCACTTGAAAGACCGTCGCTAATAATGTGATCTATATTTTTACAATACCTCGAAACATATGGTGTTGACAATAGTATGCACGTATAAATACAGACCTGCATACTTAAATATATGCATTTTATTGTAGATGGCACGAGGACGTCTCGCCGGAGATTTTTAAGGTGTATGATATCCATAATATAGATAGTGTAACAAAATATTATTAAGAAAAACAAAATCAGAAGTAAACCAATAATTATTGTAAATTAAATTAAATTTCAGGCAAATCCTGTACCTATCATTCCTGATGTTGGTTGTTTGATAAAACCGTTTCACACTGCAGTAGACATGTACCAACCCATAGTGTTAGTTGAAATCAATTTTCTTTTTTTAATAGAAAATATCCGTAAATATATTTTTACAATGAGCACCAGTTATGTATAACATACGATTAGCATAAAATAAAGTGAAATAAAATAATTTAGCTGAATTATATACAGACTGCGACACTGTGTACTCCGATGAATGTGTCATTATCTATCGATGGAATTCATGACGTGGAACAGTGGAAGTTAGTCGATTTAATAACCAGTAAAAGTGATATCAAAAAAGTAAGTCGATATTCTACCAACAAAGTTTTTTCTTTTAATGAGAAAAATTTGGTTTCTAAACTATATAATATGTATAGTTGTGGCCCTTTTCGTTCTTTCCCGAAACTTTTTCCATATGATCTTGTCATTACGCAACAAACAAGGACGGTACTAGAATGGGACCACTAATAAGTTACTTAATGATTTGAATTAAACAATATATTATTGAAGATTTAAATTTAATTTAATATACAAGTTATTGAAATTGCCTATATAAGACGCCTTGTAAAGCCGATGTGTAGCGTGATCGACGTGATTCATATACCTTCTAGTATCCATAGTGGGATGATAAAGCTAATAAAACAAAACTAAAGATAACAACATATGGGCATCTCATATTATCAGAGTTACGATACGATTTTTTTTTATAAATTGTATTGTTAACAATTTGTTTTATTTATTAATTTTGCAACTTTTTGTCATAATCATATTTCAAAAAGAGTTTTGCATCTACGATATGAATTTAAAAAAATATATGTTTCATTTTCATAAAAAACTGTTTGCAAACGTATTTATGATTAATCTATCATGTATAAAAGTAAATGGTATCAGTCAATCTGCAACGCCAACCCATTCAAGTACTCAAAAGTCGTCCTTCTGCGTTACAAAAATCAAACCTAACAGGATACGTTCGTCCTGGACCGCTATCGAAATACGGAAATTTCCGGCTTTCACTCACCTGAACATGATGGACGGCAGAGGGTTACCGTTTGCAGTGCACTTGACTCTGGCCTCAGTGTTGATGGGCACGGACACGTTGGTTACGTCCAGAATCTCGGGCTTGATGAGCACGACCACGTTGACCAACCGCTCGATCTGACCGGCCGCGTTGCTGGCCACGCACTTGAACTGACCGTTGTCGGTGCGGCTGATACGGTTCAGGCTCAACACGCCAGTCAGCTTGTTCACGGAGTACCTCTCGGTGCCCTCGCTCAAGTCTCGCTGGTCCGGCATGTGTATCCACGTCACTTTGGGTTCAGGTTTACCGTTGGCCGCGCACCGCACGCTGGCCATCTCACCCTCGACCACTTCCAGCTGGGACACTTGGTCGGAAGCAAACGTCGGCGGGATGTGAACCTATGAGCGAAACGGAAACAATTATTAGTGATGATATTATTGATTATATACATATAGGTATACTCGTTAGTTAATGATGTAACATCAAGTTACTTTTAAAAAAACCCGGTTAAATTCTAACCACCACGTACCCACCCACACTGTCGTGCATAACTTTGATCAGTTACTAATCTGCTATTATTCACTGCCTTGTGTACCTACGGTGTCAGATGATTGACGCATATCATTGGGGTATGTTTAGTATTGATTACATTAATATGAATAAATAGCATTTTTTTAAAAATACTTATATGATTGAAAAATATTGAGTAATAAAAATATATATATTCTAGTGACGGTAAAGGATACCTCACATTCTTTTTAAGCTAACACAAAATAGATAAGTCGAGAATGTGAACAAAAGTACAATTGATTTAAAAAATAAAAACTTTCCGAGCACTGGTTATACTGAGTTACTTCACTCGGTGTGCACCTCCAGTATTTCGCGAAGTTCTTCAAAAAGCATGTACTTAAGTAGAAAATTTTTAGACGAAAGTTTTTTACTTTTCTTGTCGTTTTTAACCATGATCGATATCGAATAGTCTGATAGTATCGAACTTTTGCGAATTGTTTTGTGCTCGGAGACTTAAGAGATTTCGATGACGAATATAATATAGTTGCAGCGCACTCACCTCGACTCTGATATCCCGGTCTTGGATGTTACCCGTGTCCAACACGATGGCACGGCATTTGTACAGGCCGTCGTCTTCGGCGGTGACGTTTTGGATGAGCAAACCGTCAATGTCCTTGACGAATCCGTTGCCGTCTTGAATCCTGGTGTCTTCCTTGTACCAGTCGACGAGTGGCGCGGGATTGGCCTTGACTTTACAACGCACTTTGTAACTAGTTCCGGCGATCGGATATTGTTCGGTGGGAGCGTCCACCCACGTGATGTCGTCTATATAGAACACAGAAGAAGTAAAACAATATAACAGAAAATAAAACTGTACAAAAAGGGTAGATAAATCCATCGACGGACGATCGATCGATCGGTGTCGACGACTTACAGAAACTGTCGATGATCACACTGCGGACCAGGTATTCAGAATTCGAGTATGTGGCAGTGCACGTGTACGTGCCCACGTCCGATTCGGTGAGACCAGTTATCACCAGCCCCAAATTGTTGCTGGAAGTAAACGTAGTGGTCACGTGCGCTCCGGCGGTCCTGCAACGACACACATCGAAAATCAATGCATTACAATAACGTGTGTACATTTCAACGTGAAACGCCGATATATTTTACCGCCTAATATCCGCATCTGATGATGTTTTAATTGCGACGGCAGACGACCGTATCGATTTCGCGATTTTGGGGCGGAAAATAGTAATAAAATCGTGTTATTATTTTTACATCGGCACACGTGTTGTTTATTGTGTATTATATATATTGTTGTATTATAACGGCTGCGGCTTCCGCCCTCCGGAGTTATAGAGTCGAACACACATCCACGGGGAATTAGTTTTACCGAATTACGCGTAAGTACGAGTCGCTGCGAGAGAGATAAAAATGTGAACGCCGCATCAGAAACATTATAAAATTATGTGTATGGTGTCTGTGGGCCGTGGGGCAAAATAAACGGCGGTCATTTTTGGTGATAAATATAAAATTGTTTACCACATCAGCGCAACTTAGTTATAATGAAAATGACATAGGTATAATTATACACCTAACCCACTGTTTTGGCTATATCGCGATAGTGGCCCACATTAACAGCTAAACGGGGGCCTGGTGTGACGCGGTGGTTAGCCGCAGTTACTGGAGGTATGGCTGCCAAGCATCGTGCGGTGTTGCAAGCTCCTGGATGGGTAACCACCCTGATTTTTAACGACGAATCCTAGCCCCTATATAAACACGTGTTTCTAAAACTAACCATAACCCCCCATAAAATGCTTATGTCCATAGCTATCGATGCTCAAAGTACATTTTAAAAAAAACAGCTCTATATATAGGTAGTATCTGCACAGTTTCAATGGAAAAACTAGGGGCCTGAAACACCCTTTTTTTCATTAGGTCTTATAATCTTGGATTAAACAACGATCAACTTCAACCCCCAAAACCTCACACCCCCGCCGATAAATAATCCCATAATGTTTAATAATCCTTTTTTACAGTAAATATTAATTGTTTATAAAATAAAAAGAAATTAAATCAAAAACAGCGTAAACAATGACGGTGCTAAATTTAAAACTGGAGGTGCTAAGCCCACCAAGCTAGCCCCAAACCCAAATAAAATCTCTTAGTTTATGTGCAAACATGATATTATATATTATTATACACGGGATGCGTAATCGAAAGGTTTACTCACGAGGTTTGATCGATCGTCCTGTTTTGCGGATCAAGCCATTTGAGATTGGTGATGAATTCTGGTTGGTCGACGTCAGGTTGGCAGTTCAATATCAAAGACGAGCCGATCGGTTTAACCTGTTTCGGCTGTGTAGGTCGAATGATCAGCGAAGGTTCTTTGGCCGTGGCGTCTACAAAAAAAAAAAAAACACACGATTGAATATATAGAATAGATAGTGATTCGAAATCGCAGAGGAAATTCATTAATTATTACAGCGCACGTCGTCACAAAGGGATAAAAGAGTACTGTGCCGTGAGGATAATTGATTCTCTTACTGCAGTTTTCTTGGTTGACCTTTTCCGAATCGCTAATGGATTTCGTTTTCTTTTCTATAACACTATATTACACATCGAGATTTCAAATTCAATACACTGCCGACGCTGCACAAACACATCCACCCACACATCACACATACTGCAGGTACGTAAAATATAATATATTATTATATTACAATGCGCCCCCTCGCAACATGGTTATGACTTTGATATTAAAATTTTGTTTTTTCACAAAGTCGATATACATGTGTATGAGAACAGAAAATCTATTGTGCACTTTTTTTTACTGCCTGCAAACATATAGGTACCTCTATGCATATTTACGCATGGCACGTGTGTCGGCGGCGTAATATAACTCGAAACATCCGACGATCGACGGGTGGAATGAAAATAAAACGGAATCGAATGGCGCGTGCACCCCGCGATTTCAAGTCAATATATATAGGTATATGTGAAAAAAACATCCCAATATTACATTATAATAATATAACTGCTGCATGATATAATATAACTACCTAATCCATTATAATGCATAATATATATAATTATTTCATTTGAACATATATAGAATACATTCGTTTTAAGTTTAGACTACAACAACAACAACAACAAGAACTGCGCACCCATCATATGTATTATTTTTAATGTATTATTATATTATTGTGATATCCGCGGTAAAATAATAAAGCGTCGAGCGGAAAAACAAAATCTGGTTGTTATTTCACCGCAAAACTACTGTTGTATAATGGCATATATATTATACTAATAACATACGCGTACTTCGTGGCAGATGCTAAAACGCGTACAGGCGAATTAAAATTCTGATCCAGGCAACCCTCGCCCCAACAAGCGATCCCTGAATTGAATAATAACAATTTATAACAATAACGAAAAGTAAAAAAAAAACGATCGTTTAACAAATGAGCACGAAACTGTTTTTCTTTGTGTGAAAAAATTAATCCGCCGAAGCCATAAAAATATTATACTCTAAATATCCATTCATATATTTATGTGCGTGTTTGACTCGTTCCTGTTATCGATGGGATAAGCTATGTATACGATGATAATAATAATTATAATATATGGACCTTGCAGCAGTGCATTTTATTTCGTACCGTGTTGCATTTTTCACTTGATTAGTTTCATTTTTTATTTATACATATACGTATAAGTATTATAACAGGTGGCCGTGACTATGTGATTCGACTTATTTGTGCATACATATTATACACGTTAAAATAATAATGATTTTATATAAATGCCAAGTCATTCTTGAGTTTTATTTTATGACTTTGTGTATGAGTCGAATCGAATACCAACTTCATTATCGCGCAGTAAGCGTATAATAATAATAATATAAAATCTACTTTGTATGAATTTGTATTACCAGTGTGGTAACAAAAAAAAAGGTTTGTGTTAATTGGAAATAGGTACTGTTTCTATAATATGTAATGCGTTAATTCCGGCACAAAAAGTCATATTTTTTTTTCAAACCTTCGTAAGTTTTTTGTTAAAAAATTAAAAAAACAAATGTGTGGCGCATTATCTCCAAAATATTGTTTACGTGTCGTAATACAGATTGTTTTCCCTCTAAAACTACTGCATACAACGCGTATTACCGTCCTCTGTGTTTCTGATTTTTCTTCTACAACTTTGCAGCGATATGAGGTGGGTTTGGAACTCATGCAGCGTCGCCGCTGCCACCGCCGACAGTGCTGTACAAGCGGCTGATGGTGTCAGGATCGATTTGGCTAGGCGATAATTTCAAAAGAACACTTTATTTATACCCACACACTATACGTACCTACTCGGACACGAACTTACGCCTGCGCGAGTCGCTCGTAATAATAATAAGCCCCCCCCCCCCGGGGTGCACACAGGTCGGTTTGTAACGACACGGCCAGACACTGGGGCCCCGCGACCCCGTGGTCGAGACGAGAGGGGAACGCGCGAGGCCCTCTGAATTAGTTATACCTTGTTTACACAACAATTCCCTTTTTAAGGGTGGCATACGCAATACTCCACCACAATTTCCCACTGGACCACACGACTGCGGCGGGGTGTTTCAGGCGGGGATTTAAATTAATTTGCCCGGAGGTCGTTTGGTTTCTCGGCTATAGATGTTTTATTGGCACCCGGATTTGCCGTGTTAGACATCACCCGGCCGCAGTGGCGGCGGTGTACTACACACACACACACATACACCAGCTGGAGGGATGATATAATATATATATGTGTAGGAGAGCAATACACAATTAAGTGCCTTCTATGTGTATATGATGTGTGTGTATATGCCCGGCACTTTCCCGTCGCGTGGGTACATACAGTCAGTATCCCTAAGGCCCTAGAATCGAAATAATAATAGGACGCAGTTTATACTCTGTGCGTAAAAACAACATCGCACCTATCACCTAGCCAACATATAGGCGGCTTATTAAGTTTGGGGACGTGCGGTAATAATATAATTTTATTACCGTCCAAGAACATAATATATACCGATATATTCCGTACACTATTGCGGAGCTAACTCGCCGTCCCCAAATATAGGTATATATACACACAACACACAGCGTGTTAACGGTCACGACTGTCAAAATATTGGCGATGTATATACATGGTTGGGCGAAAACACAACACACGCTGCTTACAATTTGCTCAAACGTACATATTATTGTTGTGAAATATATTTTCGTTGAGGGACAGGGATAGCTTTTGAAAAGATCTATTCGTGAATAGGTATTAGATATAATATAGTCATCGCGGTCGAAACGTTATGATTATTTTATTTTATTGTTTTTTTGTTTATTATTCACTACCGACGTTTGAGTTTAGAACTTCTCGAATCCATTTTTTAGTAGATTATTACATTTTCATTCGACCCTAACCGTTCGTAACGAAATTTGAAAGAACCCTAATATTTATACATATTTTGAATCATCCGCACATATTATATTTATTATAGTGTCAGAAGAAAGATATTATGATTATATATCATAAGTACATAATATTATATAAGCGGTTGGCGGTCGTAGAACGCGTGTCATTAAATTCTGCAAACGAGAGCGTAAATTAAACGATATTATAGTATACGATTTGGTTTCAACAAGATTTAATTACTCGAAAAATTATTATTCGTTTCTCGAGACTCACGCCAAGGGGATGATGGTCGTCGTATTTCACATATTTTGGATTTTGGCCATTTTTTCACGTTCTTTGGTGCATTCTTCCACAGATATACCATTAATTCACTCGGCGTATGGGATCTGAAATGCTGCAATAGTACGACGAGAGGACGGCAATCGTTCTGAATATAATATTGAACGAATGACGAAAAAATTAAGTTCCTGTTATATACGAAGGTCACATCGCATATGCTACTATCATTATATACACATATATAGGCGTATAGCACAAGGGGATTTTATTTAAAAATTATGTAACTCTTTAGAGAGAAAAAAAAATGAAATCATAATAATAATAATAATCGAGTCGATGGCTTTGAAATTACGCGACGGTTGAAAAATTAGTGAACACTATTCATATTATAATAACGTTAAGGTTCCATAATTACATTTTGGTAATTTGGTCTCGTATATATACGTATACATGGTTTGTTAGCAATATTGTACCGTTTAATTAAAAACTTTCAAAGCGCAATAAGGAAACGAGGGTTGAAAGCACTTCTTGGGACATTCAAGTGACGGCGTCGTCGCCGAGGGGCGAAGAAAATATTATACGCTCTGCCGATTGAGACAAATAATACGAATTTCGTCGGTTGAAATTGGAAATTCGATAAACTCGGAAATATATATAAAAAAAAATTTCCATTGTTAACAGTAATATCATTAGAGAAACAGCAGAATTTATTAAAATACATACAAATGTTTCTTTGTAGGTATCTATTTATTCACACTGTATAGTGTATACATATAGCGAGATAACATATATTATAAGCAGATTACATTTTTATCTACATAATATAAAAATAATTACGTTAGATAAATACTTTTTTTTTAAATAAATGCCAAAATAATATTTGAAACATTTTCCCGGAAAAATCATAAAAATGAAAATATTTCAGTATAAAATTATTAGTTTTATAGGTATTATTTCGTTTGAACTGTGTATATACTGTATAGTTATAATATTATCGAGACCTACAAGTGCAGTTTGTAGGGCTGTATCATAGACTATGATACAAATGATACTATTAATGATTCATAGTTTGTTTTGGAAAACCTTGGAATAGAATATATATATTTTTTAATAACGTTGCATTAGGTTTGAATTTGAAGATAAAAAGCAGATTACCTTTCTATAAACTTAACTTTTTAACCTACTTACTAGGATAAAATATGTTAGCAAATTACGCTTTTATCAACATAACGATAATTACGTAAGATAAATACATTTTTAATCATAAAGATTAAATCACAATGACACATTTTTCCGATAAAAATTATAAAAATTAAAATATATTCGGACGAACTGTTTAGTTTGAAAGAGAAATAATTAAACCTAATACTTTTTATTTGAGAGATATCAAAGAGACCTGCAGATTGCACTAGCTTGCATCGTTCATGTTGGCTATAAATATTATAATATTGTTGATTTGGATTTTAATTCGAAGAAAAAAATGTTGATTATAAACCTATAACTTTTTGACCTACTTACTGAGATAAAATATAAAAGCAAATTACGAATTTATCTACATAATGATAATTAGGTACGTTAGATTCACACATTTGTGTTGAATAATTGCCAAAATGACATCAATTAATTAACATATTTTTGCAGATAAAAATATAAAACTAATTCGTTTGAACTTACAGGACTTGCATACAGTTGCATCGTT